TGAACTTGAAATGCCTGTCTGTCTATATTTCTGAGATGAGGTATTATGTACACTATTTACATTATTCGGACTATTGTCCTCATCTTTGTCGCCATATTTATCACAACGTTTCGGCCTTTCAGTATCTGTCTATATTTCTGTGATGAGGTATTTACATTGTTCGGACATTATGGGTCGTGTCACTGGATCTAACTAACACCTATATCCACTGTGCCATATGTCCGTTAGTTAGATCCAATGACAGGACCCAAAGAGTGTGAGTTCAATACCCGGTTAAGGCAGTGGAGAAATTTCAGAGGGGAATTAACAGGAGATAACTGATAACTGACATCCATCAAACATGGCACGTGGAACTAGAACAGTCTACCCCGGTGAGCGAAATAAAGGGTTCAGTTCGACATTCCAACCACCTGAAGAAGCCCGGAGCGTACAACGGCCGAAGCGTTGTGATAAATATGGCGACAAAGATGAGGACAGTAGTCCGAATAATGTAAATAATGTTGAAATGTTTAATTTCCTGAATAACTCTTTTATTGGAACGTTTTTGTTTGTTTTTTGTTTGTTTGTTTTTTTAGTTTCTGGGGTTTTTGGGGTTTTTTTTTTCTTATGAATTTCAACTGACAGTAACGCTGGCAGTTCGGTCAATGAATGCCGAATGTTTTCTCTACGGAAATGTACGGAAATGTACGGAAATGTACGGAAATATACGGAAATGATTACTTTCATCGCTATTGTTACCATTACCAAAAATATTTTTGTCAAGTCCAATGTCCTCTCGCATCCTTTCTGATGATTTCTTTGACTGGTGGCGTCACACTTATCCTCCATCGAACTGGCATTCTTCTGCATTATGTAATACTGATGACCGGGCTTGTGACCCAAGAAAACGGTATGAAGTCAGCAGTAAGACCAGCTTTTTTGTTAGTCTAGAGGTTACCGAATATGGCGCAAAACTGAGAAGTGGTGGTGAGTAAAACGGCTAATAAATATAATAAAGATGAAGATGCTAGTCAGTCCGAGGCGGAGTGGAAAGTACTGAATTGTTTTTATTTTTTCTAATCCTGCGGACGACATTACCGACTAATGACTGATTTGTGGCATGTAGCAGGAGAGATTGCCATATCAAAAGATCGATAAAGGATGAAAATCAATAAATGCTGAGATGTATTGTGCGATGTTTCGATTTTTCCTCTTCGACATTTCGATTCTATTAGGAAAATGGCGGTTTGTCTTGCAAATGAAGAAAAAAAAGGAAAGAAAATGTAAAGACAGTTAAAGAAAATTAAAAACGAAAAGAAACTCATAGAAGATAAATTTACTTTGGAAGAAAGAAAGAATGTTTTGAAAAATACGTACAAAGAATTACAAATAGGAAAGAAAAATAAGTTGAATAGAAAAAAGAAAGAAAGAAAATACGTAGAAAGAAAGAAAAACGAAAATACGTAAAAAGAAACAAAATAATGAAAAACGAAAGAAGAAAAAAAAGAAAGAAAGAAAGAAAGAAAGAAAGAAAGAAAGAAAGAAAGAAAGAAAAAATAAATTAACAAACAAACAAAGACAAGGAAAATAAAGAAGGTGATAACGCTCAAAGAAAGAAAGAAGACTGCAGGAAAGAAAAAGACTGTAAAAGAAACATACAAACAAAATACTTAGAAAGAAAGGAAATAATGTAAAAAAAAGATAAATGCCAATAAGATTGAAGGAATTAGAAAGAAAGAAAGAAAGAAAGAAAGAAAGAAAGAAAAAAAAAGAAAGAAAGAAAGAAAGAAAAGAAAAGATAAAGGAAGCGATAACGCTCAAAGAAAGAAGACTGTAGGAAATAAAAAGACTGAAGAAGAAAGAAAAAAGAAAGAAAGAAAATACGTAGAAAGAAAGGAAGTAAAGTAAAAGAAAGATAAGTGTGTATAAGACTGTAGGAATGAAAAAGAAAGAAACGAACAAACAAAAATAACAAACAAACAAACAAAAACAGATTAAATTACAGTGGAAAAAAAGAAAAACAAAGAAACAAAAAATCTAGTAAGAAAGACGATTGCATGAATGAAAAGAATATGTCGAGTGAAAAAAACTTGCATGTAAAAAGGTGAGAAAGAAAGAAAGACAGAAAGAAGGAAGGAAGGAAAGAAAGAAAGAAAGAAAGAAAGAAAGAAAGAAAGAAAGAAAGAAAAAGATGCCCAAAGTAAAAAAAATATTCGAAACAAGAAAAACGCTTGAATAATGAACAATAGAAAAACTAAAAATCCATTTTGACGTTGAAGCTGTAAATTATGTTTCAATTTTTTTTTACATATTTTTCACGTCCCTTGGTTAGTTTTTTGTTTTTGTTTTTAGTTTTAGTTTTTTGTTTGTTTGTTTTGTTTCGTTTGTTTGTTTGTTTGTTTGTTTTGGGCGGGGTATTGGTCCGCATTGTATGGAGCTCTGTAAGAATTGCCTTTTCGATTTCATTTTTTTTTTTTTTTTTTTCAATTTCGGTCAACCCAACTAAATAAAACACTTTATAAAAACCTGAAAGCTTTAGATTTTCACAACAAAACCACCTGTTTTTTCTTTCATCGATGAATTCCTTCTCCCGTCTCATTCATCACTTTCTTTCTTTATTTCTTTTTCATTTCTCTCTCTCTCTCTCTCTTTCTCTCTCTCTCTCTATTTATTTCTCTCTCTCTCTCCTTCTCTCTCTCTCTCTCTATTTATTTCTCTCTCTCCTTCTCTCTCTCTCTATTTATTTCTCTCTCTCTCTCCTTCTCTCTCTCTCTCTATTTATTTCTCTCTCCCTTCTCTCTCTCTATTTATTTCTCTCTCTCTCTCCTTCTCTCTCTCCTTCTCTCTCTCCTTCTCTCTCTCTCTATTTATCTCTCTCTCCTTCTCTCTCTCTCCTTCTCTCTCTCTCTCTCTCTCCTCTCTCTCTCTCTATTTATTTCTCTCCTTTCTCTCTCTCTCTCTTATTTCTCTCTCTCTCTCTCTCTCTCTCTCTCTCTCTCTCTCTCTCTCTCTCTCTCTCTCTCTCTTTTGATTTATTTCTATTTTCTCGTTCCTCCACTGATGTGTATTCTTCTTAGGAGCCTCAGTTGATTAACCAATACTACTGGAAAGTGAGTTATATTCTCACGGTATTTCTCATAATTGTGTCCGATGTGGAAAAAACTAAGCTAAAGTGGCAACAATTACTACTGATTAGTGAGTACTATCTTCACTAGGAGACAAGGTGGAGTAATAGATAACGGCACAGAATCGGAGAGCCGAGTTCGAATTCCAGTCGAATCAGTTACATTCACTTACGTGCTAATACCCTTGGGAAAAGTATGAATTCTCTTCTCCCGCAGCTATGAGTAAATAGCAGGACGGAACGGGTTCTATAGCCTTGGGTGGCAACTGGTCTACCGCAGAAAGAAATGTTAACCTACTGCGGGAAAAAAAAATCTGCCTCGTCAGTCATGTATCGAAAGATACATGATCGCCTCAGCGTGTATCACTCATGGCACATAACTGACTCTATTTGACTCTATTGCACACTCTACTACAAAGTATTCATGCTTTAAATGCCTACTTATCAGCAAACCACTGAAAAAAACAGTAATTTTATCTTCAAAAACAGTACATATATATATATATATATATATATATATATATATATATATATATATATATAGAGAGAGAGAGAGAGAGAGTAGTAGATAGTGGTTTTGATTGAGGAATCAGAGAGACATGTTTGAATTCCAGTCAAATCCATTACATTCACTTAGGTGCTAATAACCCTTGCAAAGGTACGAATTCTTTTCTTCTTCCCCCAAGCTATGATTAAATGGCATGGCAGACTGATGGTAACTGGTCTACTGCAGGAAAAAAATGACAACCTACTGAGGGAAAAAATCTGCCTCGTCAGTCATGTATCGAAAGATACATGATCGCCTAAGCGTATATCACGCATGGCACATAACTGACTAATCTTCACTAAGTAGCGCATTACTTGTGGCTATGTAGCAAAATTTGGTCTATTACACACTCTTGTACACAGTATTCATGCTTTAAATGCTTCCTTATGAGCAAACCATTGAAAAAACAGTAATTTTATCTTCAAAAACAGTATATATATATATATATATATATATATATATATATATATCAATCCAAACCGATATCTACTACTCCACCGTGCCTCCGTGTTCATATATTCATATATATATATATATATATATATATATATATGAAGAAGGAGGCACGTTCATATATATATATATATATATATTTTAATAAAAGACAGACCACGTTAAGATTCCATGTAATAAGCTATTTCACCATAACCCCTTTAACAGGGTTCTGGATCATCAGACTTTACTTCCAAAAGCTGAAATGAAAAATGGAAAGAAATTCACACGTTTTTGACGGACCTCATCAAGTATACGCAAAGTTAACGAAGTGAGGAAGTGAGGTGGGAGAGAGGATATGAGTGTGTCATATGTATCATTTCAGTTTCCTATTTTTAACCCCAGTGTGTCGGCTAGATGTTGCTCAAATATATATATATACACACACACACACACACACACACACACACACACACACACACACACACACACACACACACACTTGCACGGTGGAGTAGTAGATAGCGGTTTGGATTGAGGAATCAGAGAGCCGAGTTCGAATTACAGTTAAATCCATTACATTCACTGCTAATATCCTTGGGAAAGGTATGAATCCTCTTCTCAATCCAAGCTATAGATAAATAGCAGGACAAATTGATGGCAACTGGTCTACCGCAGATAAGATGCCAACTACGGGAAAAAAAATCTGCCTCGTCAGTCATGTATCGAAAGATACATGATCGCCTAAGTGTGTATCACGCAAGGCACATAACGGACTGATCTTCACTAAGTGGCGCATTATTTGTGGCTATGTAAGTAGCCGAGGTTCCGAATCTCACTGAGCGCCCCATTAAATGTGGCCTTGTACCAAACTTGCTTAAATAGCTCTTCGTTGGCCATTGCTACTGAGATACTTAAGGCCATATCACGTTGAAACACCGGTTCCCGTACTATCACCGAAGGTAAGCAACATCGAACCTGGTCAGTACCTAGATGGGTGACCGTTTGGGAATATCAGGTACTGTAAGCTTGGATGATAGCGCGGAATTGCTAATCGAAGAACTGAGTTTGGGTTTGTTTGTCTTTCAACTGCTAGTGGATTATTCAGAGCCAAAATTTCCGTTCAGTTCGTTATATTCACTTAAACACAACCTTGTGAAAGTTAAGAAACCACCTATTTTCTCTCCAGCTATGGGTTAATTAGTAATTAGTGATCGGGAGGTTTTGAGGAGCTTAGAACAACCTTGCAGTTACTTGCAGTTGTTCCCAGGTCCACCCTGACTCGGGGTGGTAGCACCTGTTAGGGTCCTACCTATGGGCAAATAGGAGAATCCCAAAGAAAACACTATAAAAGAATAAAATTATAGTAAAAATACCAGCAACAGCTTTTAATAGTAAAAAAAAATACCAAAGCTTGCAAGAAAATTACATTTCGGCATTAAATAATCGATAAGGAGTTGATATGCCGTTAAACAAACAAGCAAACAAATGATTGTCGAAGTTAAGCAACGTCGAAACTGGTCAGTACATAAATGGATGACCGCTTGGGAATACCAGGAGCTATAGGCTTGGGTATGCGAGTAAAAGATAATGGCTTGTGTATGTGCGTAGTGTAAAGGATAATGGCTCGTTATTATTAATCAGAGAGCCGAGTTCCAATTGCCGCTGGGTTTGTTTCTTTGGTTTTGTGTGTTTAAAGGCCCTTCAACTGCTATTGAGTTATTCAGTAACAAAATTTCTGTTGGGTTCGTTATATTCACTTCTGCCTAAACTTGAGAAAGGCATGAGTCCACCTATTTCCCCTCCTGTTAATAAGCAAGACTTCTATCACTAAACCATTATTACTTCAAAAATATTCTTACAATCGAAAAATATTTTCTGGTTAAATTTCAGTCAAATAACAATTAGCTACATCGGCATATCTTTTCTGAGGTGGAACAACTACATTGAAATAATAGCTGCATCTATCGCAAGGAAAGTTGGTTTTCTGTGTGGCGCCAGAAGGTTTTTCTCGCCCGAGTTCATCCTTCACGTCTACAAATCTACCATTCGTTCATGCATGGAATACTGTTACCATATATGGTCTGCTGCCCTCGCTGTTCATCTCGAGGTTCTCGACGACATCCAGAGACAGATCGGTCCCAGGACTGATACTTTGTGAAACAAACTCCCGGGAGGATGCTTCCGTGACAACTACAACCTTGGTCACTTAAAGTCCAGGATCAACCAATAATGCACACGTCATACTTCCTACTTCGCCCCTCTCCTTACAAAAAACCTCACTCAGTAACTCTCTATCATAAACGGCTCTAGGGTTTTGTATTGGGTGGCATCACGACTCCAGCCACTTTCTCACAGACGTGATGTGGCTTCTCTCTATCTTTTCTATAAATATTTTCATGGCATCTGCTCTAACGAGCTACTTTCACTGGTGTACCGACTGCATGAATTTAAGCGTGCTACTAGGTTGGCATCTCGGTCCCACCCTTCTACTGTCGAAACAGTTAAATGTAACCGCCTCTTCTACTCCAACAGCTTCTTCTCTCGCACTTCCCGACAGTGGATCTCCCTTCCTCTTACTTGCTTCCCTGATAAGTATAATCTGTTCTTCTTTTTATCCTCCTCCGACCTTCTGTTTATCCTTTCCTCCCCCTTCTATACACATTCTTTTCCCTTACTTAGACTCTCTATAACCCCTTGCGTACTTCTGCACTCTCGCTTTGCTTGGGATGAGATGCTTAAAAAATAATAATATATATTTACTTACATTCTCTGGAAAGTACATGTATAGAACGTAGAATGGCCATAAAGTGGGGGTTCCGTTTATATGTTGATTTTGATATAGAATTTATCCCCAACTTTATATCCACATTATAATTTCTTGTTTGTTCATTAAATTCTGATTAGATATGAAGCCAAGTCTCCTCCCCCAGCTACGGATTAATTAGTAAAACTTGTATCACTAAACATTTATTAGCTCAAAAAAATTCTTAGAATCTAAAAATACTTTCTGGCTTTAAATAACCTACAAAGGGTGGTTAAGACGTAGAAAACGCATCAATGAAATACTGATTAGCTACACAGGTATGCTTTTTAGATTTATTTACATTCGCTGGAATATAAATGGTTAGAAACAACCATGGGCACAAAGTGAGGGATCAGTTTATATATAGATTTTGATATAGAATTGATCCCCCACTTTATATCCATTTCTTGTTTGTTTAACAAATCCCGATTAGGTATGTAAATCTACCTCTTCCCTCCCAGCTATGGGTTAATTAGTAAGACTTATGTCACTGAACCTTTATTATCGGAAAAAAATCCTTACAGTCTAAGAATACTTTCTGGCTTTAAATAACCTGCAAAGAGTTGATAAGCCGTAGGAAGCGAATCAATCATTGCTACTGAGTAAAGGGTATGAAGCTCACAAGGTACTCCACTTCTTGTGACTTTGCGCCAAACTTAATAATTTACAACACCGGATAGTGCAATCATTAGCGAGCTTCTCCAGGTATCTCTCGATCCCATGGGACAATAGACTAGTGAATTAAAACTTTGGTTCTTGGATTTTATGACGTAGTCATTGTGAGTTCAATCACTGGGTTGGGTATTGCAGATTTAGGATCAGTGGAAACGGGGAGAGGAATGAGCCTTACCAAAAAGGACAAGAAAAGATATCTCGAAATGAGAAAAAAAAATATCTATCAAGGCAGATTGCATAAAGGGTTTAGGTCGAAATTCCCTGAAGGGTACCAGGGTCGACAAGGACTTGACGAAGGATGGAGGACACAGTGGCTGAAACGTTGCGATGGCAACAAAGACATCTCGTAAGTAGTTTCCTCTCTTCAGTGTTTTAGTTTCCCTCTCGCTTCCCCCTCCCCTCTCTCTCTCTCTCTCTCTCTCTCTCTCTCTCTCTCTCTCTCTCTCTCTCTCTTCCTATTTGTTTATCTTTTTTTCTCTCTTTTTTTACCTTTTGGTCTTTTTTTCCTTTACCCCTTTCTTTAACTCTCCTGCTTTCTTTTGCTTATGTCTTCCTTTTCTCACGCTTGTCTTTTCTTTCTTTTTTTTCTCTCGGTCTTTCTCTTCTCTTTTCTTCTTTCTTTATCTCTCTTTCTCTTTTTCCATTATTTAACTCTCTCTCTCTCTCTCTTTCTCTTTCTATTTCTCCTTGAATCTTTCTCTCTCTCTCTCTCCTTACTTTTCTTTTTTCTCTTTTTTTATCTTTCGATCTATTTTTCCTTTACCGCTTTCTTTAACTCTCTCGATTTCTCTTGCTTATGTCTTCCTTTTCTCGCGTTTTCCTTTTCTATCTTTCTTTTTTTTTCTCTCTCTCTCGGACTTTCTCTTCTCTTTTCTCCTTTCTTTATCTCTCTTTTTCTTTTTCCTTTATTTAACTCCCCCCCTCTCTCTCCTTCTCTCTCTTTAGCAATCTTTTTCTTTTCTTTTACTTCATTATTGTCCCGGGATGATAGCCTAATAAAAAAGGACGACCAGAAGACTACTCTCGCTGCATTATATTTCAGGGTACTGTGTTCAATTTTCTATGACTTCCCTGCCCTTGTAGCTTTTTCCAAAGAGTTGCCACTTTGTGAAACAGACTCCCGCAATGAGTGCTTCCCTGAACACTACTGTCTTAACCTCTGCAAGATTATCTATCTTCCCCATCCTCCTAATCATCACGTCCTACTACCTTCAATTTCATTCATATCATATACACCCATCCATTATTACAATTTTCTCAGTTACCTGTGGAAAAATGAAATAAAACCAATAAATAAAATAATAATAATGCACAAGCAGTTCCCACGGACAGGTCGTTAACACATGCGTCAACGAAAATTCCATCTCCTTTTCCTCTTTCAGTAACATCTATCTCTTAGCACTCAACAGAATTCGAGGTAAGAAAACCCCCAGATACTTGTAATTATAATTTATACGCATTACACAATTCTATAATAAAAACAAACACATACGAGAAAGACATTTTATTTATTCTTTATCTTATTCTGTTGGATTCCGATCCATATTTGATCTACATTTAACCCCAAACTCATAATTTTACTCATTATTACTGTCTCTCGTCTCTCCAGCACCGCATAACAACCAGATAATACGGTATTTGACGGCATATAAAACGCACTTTTTTTTACTAAAAATATCTTTTAAAATTCCCCTGCATCTTATATGCCATACAAAGGTTTAAAATTCGCGATAGTCGGCCGAAATTAGCTACATGGCAACTTGTATTAGCTTAGAGTTTAGTATAAATTTCATATTCCTATTGTCATTATTTAAAAGACTATTATGCAGATTAAAAATTATCATTGATAATATTCATTATATTAATTTCATTACGTTTAATATTAGCACTTTGTTTCACTAAAATTATATGCAATAACTTCAAATTATATATTTGTAAAATATATCTGTTTCATTAATATTTTCTTGCGATAATTCCCGGTTGCATTGGTATAAACACAATCAGAATTTTTATATCCTAATTATTTCAATAAGACGTTTGAAAGACGCAGGTTGTTCAGATCATATAAAGGATATAATAAAGTTTTTATAGGATCGTGTTTTTCCTATTATTTTTCGTTTAATTGTAATCATGGCTTGTTTAACCAAAATAATACCTCATAAATATAGCCTAGGCTGTACCGTTTACTAATAATTTTACTAATTACTAATTTTTTTCTTGATTTTCCCTGCTGAAATTGGGTCGCGTCATATAGACCCGTGCATCTTATATGCCGTCAGATACGGTAAATAATACTCGTTTTATTGTTTCCACGTCTTTCTTTTTCTCATTTTTATGAATAGTTTTGTATATATAAATGTTAGGGGGTGGTTATAATTATTTATTCAGAGTTATAAAACACTTATATAGTATTGAGCGATTTTTTATCAAATTCTCATCGCTCTTATAGCCTTGTGTCATACTTAGCTAAACTTTGTAAATATTTATTAGTATTCGGTGAGTATGACTCATTGGTGTGTTGAATACGAAGTTTGTTCAATGGGATCT